GTGGAATGAGAAAAACATGTTAAAATTATTTTCCCAATTTTTTTTTCCATTTAATTCTCCTTTGACACTTTTTCTCCCAAATAATACTTTATTTCATCTATGATTGTAAAAGCAACACATAACCGAGCATTTACATGGACATCAGACAGGCTTGAGTTCAAATTTTGCTACTTAATGACTGTGTCATTGTGTGACATAGTCATTTGTACACAAGTAATCGATCTCTCTATGCCTTGGTTTTCTCATCTGAATGGTTATTATAATAGTTTTTTCATAAGATTGTTATGGCGGTGAAATTAGAAAGTGTATGTAAAGTGCTTAGCACGGTATCTGGCACAGTGATTGCTCAGTACATAAATATACACAGCTGAAATCATGTTCAATGTAGAAAAGATAAAAGTCTGTGAGACCAGGATATAGCTGGAGTCTTTTGTCCCGGATCTTCACGGCATTGCATTAAAAGAAAACCTACATCTGACTCCAGAAGCTTGGATAATAATCTTTTCTTTCGGATAGCCTTTCTCAACCATGGTTCACGTGAACCACAGAGCACACAAAATGACCAGAATCTCTTTTTTCTCCCCTGAGGATGCTACCTAACTAGGCCCACTCTAGATGCGCGGGAGAGTTCACGGTGCAGTAATTGCTTCAGGGCACCGAGGCTTGGTCCTCTCCCCACACCCTCCCCCTTTAAGGAAAGCTGCTCTGGTGCTTCTAGAAGACCTGGTGCAGGGCTCATCATAGTGCTGCCGATCCTCCCTGGAAACGTTCTCATTTTCTCCAGCCTTCTATTGACAGCTGAAATCTTTCCCTCCCTCGCCCGTGTGATTTGTTCCCAGAACACCATTCATTTGTTCCTACCCCATATTGTGCTCAACACATACTCCGTGGTTCTGACAGGTGTCCTCTTTTCTTGAAAGAACAGTCGCGCGTCCGGTCCTTGTGCGCTCCCTCTCCTCTTGGATTGCTATGAAGCACATCACCAAGAAAACGCATGCCCGTATCTGGACTATACAGCAGTAAACGCTGACACTTCACATGCAGACTTCTTTTTTTTTTTTTTTTTAATTTTTTTTTTCAACGTTTATTTATTTTTGGGACAGAGAGAGACAGAGCATGAACAGGGGAGGGGCAGAGAGAGAGGGAGACACAGAATCGGAAACAGGCTCCAGGCTCTGAGCCATCAGCCCAGAGCCCGACGCGGGGCTCGAACTCACGGACCGCGAGATCGTGACCTGGCTGAAGTCGGACGCTTAACCGACTGCGCCACCCAGGCGCCCCCACATGCAGACTTCTAAGAGCCATCTGGATACCTTGCCGCTGCTAAATGCCTCTCCTTGACTAAAGCTGTAGAATGATCTGGGCATTAATCTAAGTGGGCCGTGATTTGTGCCGCTAAGGCTTTTGCGGGACTGGTGCTGTATGGTGGAGCACATTTCCTCTTCCTGGAGCCGTTTCTATTTCCAGCTGCTCTTCAGCACTGGCAAGGCTCATGCTGCCTCCCAGTATGGGAGAAGGCACCAGTACCTTTTTTGGGGGGACAGGGCCATGACATCTTCTGTGTTAGTAAGGAAGAATAATATTAGGTAGGCAGTTAGCAGTGTCTACCACAACTCATAGAATGGAGTATCATCTAGTCATTACTTTTCGAAGAATATTTATTGACGTAGGAAAATGCTCACAATATGTTAAAGAAAGCAGGGCACACATCTGCAAATACAGTATGATCCCAATCTTGTAATAAAATGAATTATATACGCATAGAAAAAATACAGGACAGACATACACTAAAACATTAACAGGTGATTATCTCGGTGGTGGGATTTGGGTGGATTAACTTTATTTAATTTTCTGCATTTTCCAAACTTTAACCAATGAACCTCTATATTGCCTTTACAATGGTGGGGTAGGGTGGGGAGAAGCCCATACAAGGGACACCTGACACCTAGTACTGGGAGGCGGCCAGACTGATGTGATAAAGGGATACTCAGTACTTGCACTGCCTCAGGCAGTGTCTCCATTTATAAAGGAGGGAGAAGAACCCCTGTCTGTCCACCTCCCAGGACCACTGGGTGAGTGAAAGGGCCCTACGCGCCGATGGGTTGCTACTCCAAAGCAATGGCTCGAGTGCCTTACTTCAGGACACACACTTCCTTACCATGTCGAAAGTCAGGAGGGCTGTGGGCACTCAGACCATAGAGTGCGGGTGGCCAGCGTGTTCTCACCATCCCCACTGCGGGCCACCGTGGCGAGCATCTGTCTGGGGAAAGCTGGCAGCCCACGTCTCTAACCCAAAAGATTCCAGGCCCTTGTTTGAAATCCAGTCCTGAGCAAATTTCCCGCTCACGGTTCAACTCCAGCTCCCCTCCCTGCTTAGAAAGTTCCTTAAACTGTTCTGCTGAAATGGTTATTGCTTAAAGTGGCCTGAGAATGCCCTCTGTCCAGCATTCCAGAGCCCTAGGAGGCAGAGCGAGGACCTGGGTGGTCAGGGTGGGGAGGCACAGGAGGTGCCGGGAGTCGGGTCCGCCAGACTCGGACTCCTATTGCTGTGACACTGGGAAACTGAGGCCTTCCAGAGATGGTCTCCCACATGAGATGCGATGAGGTTACATGTGAGAAGAGACACAAAAAACCCAGCCCATAGTAAGCACTCTGCAGATGTTCGTTCTCTTTCCGTGAGCAAAATGAGGTCCCTTGTCTCCCCCTGCAAACGCTCTCTTCAAAAACAGAGCTTAGTGCCTGGCGTGGGGAACCTCAGAGAGAACCCAAACTCCTTGAAAGCACAGGAGCACAGCTACTTACACAGGACCATTCGGACCCTCTGTATAAGCTGGCAAGATGCTAGTTCAGGAGACACGTCTTCAGGCCAAAGCTATTTGATTGTAGAAATTATAAAAATACTCTAAAAATGCATTTGTAGAATGAATTAACAAAGGTACTTTTTTCTAAACCTTTCCCACATAATCTTATGAATTACCGAGTTTCATTTCATTTGCTGTTAAAACGTGGGTTACCCACCACTTCTCTAACCATCGGGATGAAAATCGTGAAGTGGGTTGTATTCTTCCTAGCCTTTTATTCTGGAGTATTCTGGATTTACTCAGTTTTTAAAAATAAACTCTGGGTCATCTCTATGCGAACTTGTCTATGGGCTGTACTGTTTGTACAGATCTTTCTGGGTCAACTAGACTGTCCTTTGGGAAACAGACTGTCCCAGACTGGTGATGCCTGGAGTGGTGTTCCTCCTTCTCTCCGCCTTCCCGTCCAGTTTTCTGTTGACCTTCGGTGGCTTTCGGTAGACCTGTCTTCCATCTGTCGGCCTCCTTTGCCACTTTTTATGGGCTTGAAAGCCAGAGAACTAAACCTGTTATAAATGTATGCAGATTTTAGTAAATAAAAAGATTCTTGAGGATCTCTCCTATGAGTAAATTGCAAGAAACTCTAGTGACCTCTTTTGGTAGCTCAAAGGCCTTTTAAAATTCCATCCTTGAACTGATGGAATTTGCCAGAGAAGAGACTTCTGGCTAAATGACATCTTTCACTAATACTCCGTGTACTTTACCTGTCCTTAAAAAGGCTCTTGTGGTAGGTGAGATAATGGATGTGAAAGCACTTCAGAGAAGCACAAATTCTGGGATATTGTTTACCCCAGGTAATCTATAAAGAAACACACAGAGATGGCTACATTGAATCAACCCCAATGTTTTATTTAATTTAAAGTTTTAAAAGGCAGTGGTTAAGCACATCATCTATGTGTATATATGTATGTATGTGTGTGTTATCTACATACATACACATATAAAAGGAAACCGACCCCTTTAGGCTTTAGCCACTGACTGACTAGGCCCGCTGTCTACTGCAGGATCCATTTTCTACTTCCTCCTATGACCAATTCTAGAAGTAAAAATAAACAGCTTTAATCAGTTTAACAGTAACTACTTGTGTTTCTTTCTCATTTTTTAAATAAATAAAGTTACCATTAAACTGATCACCTAGGGTAGAAAGGCTGAACACACACACAGGCACACACACAGTCCCCAATTTAAAACCTGTGACATATGAATGACCTGTATGTACAGATGGGTGCCGCTGATTCCCTCTACCCCCGGCAGAGGCCACACAAGAACCCCCAGGACTCGGGGAGTCCCCATCCCCTCTGCTGGATCGGAGGATGTGTGTTCCTGGCACCCTGGGTCAGAGCTCAGAATGCACGCTCCCATGCAGTGATACAGACGGGGGGGGGGGGGGGGGGGGGGGGGGGGGGGGGGTTCAGTTCTGTGGGTCTAGTGTTAAGGTACATAAGGGAATAAATAGGCATTTGTAGCTGCCTCAGAACTAAACCATCATTTATAACCCTTTATGGGGAGAAATGTATTCTGAAGTTCTAGATAAGCGACATACAAACTTTCAGAATGTAATCAGTTTGCAAGTCTGGGGCTGTGTGTGTGCGTGTTTGTGTGTGCACTTCCACATCTTTATACAAAATTGAAGAGTGGGGCTAGGTTTATGGAGCAGCTGCTTGGCTTCCATGTGGTCAGTCCTGATCTAAGAAGTCGCTTGCCTCAGCCCTTGTTTATTAGCAGCTCGTTCTGCTTCTCACGTGCCGCTGTCTGCTGGAGAGATTCAGGAGGGCAGCTTTCACCGGTGAGAGGAAGGACGCGACTCTATCTTCTAAGAACCTTGGCAAACAGAACGGCCAGATTCAACCAGGGCTGCTTTGCAGAACGAAGTCCTTTCAGTTCCATCCTGATGAAATGGAATTACTCTTTCTCTGTGTTTTTAGCCCCTGCAACTCCATCTAACTGCAGCTCTGTACGAATGCCTCGGTATCGCAAAAACACAGGATCACCTCTTAAATATGCTGGATTCTCAATGAGTAAACCAGTTAATGTGTTTCTAGCCAAAGCAAGGGCATAAATGTTTTAGAGAAAAGACTCCCCTGGAGCTACAGAGAAAAGATGCTGATAAAAGCAATATTGAGAGTTGGGCAGGTGACGCTTTTAGTCTGTGTCAGAGCTGGTCTCTTCGATGACAGAGTACTGGTTGAGTGCTTCCTCCAAAGGCGTTATTGTCCCATCAGGTTTTAGTCCCATTGGTTTAAGCAACTCCTCTCTGGAAAAAGAGATAAAAGAGAGAAAAAAAAAGTATTCACCAGCATCACACACACACCCCTCCCCCCGCCCAAATCCACATCCTTTTAAAAAGAAAAGTCTTTAAAAACCAAAGTATTTTTCCTCAAGCTCTCTGTGTGTTTGTAACAGGAAAGATGAAAGGGGCATGGAAAGAAAAAGAGGGAGATCAAAGACTTCATTCACACAGGCCAAACCTACTAAGCCAATTAAAAGTATGAAAAGTCAAGGTCTAAATGGGCTCAGGACAAGGAGCAGGTCTCTTCTGTTTTTAATAATTAACTTTTTTTTTTTTTTTTTTCCTTTTGTGGATTCGTTGTTTTAGCGAAGTTGAAGCTGCCAAAATTTCACGGGTCCCAGTGGGCCAGGCATACGATCAAGTGGCTGACTTGATATGTATGGATTTCATTCAGTGGAATAAATCGGTCAGATTTGATTCTGCCTCTCCAATCTACAGCAATACATAAGTACTTCTCAATCCAATCCAAGTCAGCTGGCCTTCCCCACCCTTCTCCCTTCTCCCTCCCTCTTATTTTCTTCTCTCTCTTTCCTCCTCCTCCTCCTCCTTTTTTTCTTTTTTTTTTTAAACACCATTGCTTTTGTTTGTGGCAGTTTAATTATGGGATTGACAGCCATTTTAATCTCTTCAAAGCTCCCCAACTGCCTCTTTTCAGCTAATCCAATTATATCTACTCCACGAGTTACAGCCTCATCTAAAGATGATTAATTATTGATTAAGTCAATCAAAAAGCATTAGGAAAGATTTATTTAATCTCTTCATAGGCTCTTATTTATTACATGGAGATTATGGCAAATGTACCTGTCGAGTTGCTAACTCTAGCCCTCCTCCTGCCCCCAAAATGTCAGACTTTACAAGTAGCCTTGAAGAGGCACATGAGCTGCTTCAAATTTATTTCTCAAGGAAATGGGCATCACCCCCTGGAAACATATATATAACCAAGAACCCACATGGCAGCAGCTTAATGTTGGTGGGATCTGGAGTAAAGGGAAACAGTAAAACCTGCTTTCCCTCTGCCTCCTTGCTATTGGCCCTTAGGCCGGCACAGAGAAGGTTCCCGCCTGGGGAGGGTCAGCCACACAGCAGTGTGAAGTGTTGGAGGTGCAATGACACTCCCGGGGGGGGGGGGGGGGGGGGGGCGCGGGGGAGAACAGCCCAGTGGTCCCTGGATAAGCCAACAGGAGCCTGAGCAAGCAGCTCTGGCTAGTACCACAGACTACTTCTGAGAGTCTGAAAATCCACTTGAGTAATGGGGATGGCTGCCTGGCTATGTTGAGGCTCCTGAGTTAAAAGGGAGGAAATGCAGTTCCTGGTTCAAGAAATGGGGTCAGAATCATAGAACTTAAAGTTGAAGGGGCCTCAGAGATCATTTAGTCCAACACCCTTGTTTGCTAAATGAGACTGAGTGACTTACCCAAGGTCACACACCTAGGGCCAAGTTGGACCTGGGACCTAGGGCTCCTGTGCTCTTTGCAGGGCTTCACATCTGGATTAACTGCTCTAACTGCATTACAGGAGCACACTGAGTTCAGATGCTCAATGTCCGTTCAATACCCACATGCCAGGAGCTAGGTCATACACCAGGCAGGGCAAGGAAGACTGGGCACAACTGTCCTTGAGGAGTGGGTGAAACATGTATGAAAAATAACTTAGAACGTAATGGGGTAAATGCTGTCAGAGGATCACGAACAAAGAACTGGCAGCTCCTGAGATGAAGCGTAGACCACACTGCCCGGGAAAGGGAGGGACAGCAGTACAAATCAGGTACAGGTATCCAATGCTGGGCAAAGAAGTCACAGGGCCTTAGAGGCAAAGGAGACGGTGTACAGGGCTCGGTAGGGTCCCGTCTACTGGTGTGTTTTGTGTACTTTTTTGGATTGTGTCAATTTCTTCTCTATGTGCTCTCATGAAGCTGCAGAAGGGCCCAGTGTTTGGAAAGTGGTGAGGTTTGATGAAGAGGTGGCCGGAGGTAAGGCTGCAAGGGCAGTCTGGGGTCTAGTGGTTAAGTGTCTTCAATGCCAAGAGGTTCAGGTTTGTCTGTAAGGGATGTCACCTCTGTTTTATAGGGCAGTGTCTCTGGCAGCAGTGTGAAAGGCACACCGGACCAGGGGGAACCTGGTGGCAGACCAGTCATTAGGATGTCACTGTACAGTGTATGTGACAGGACACAGGACACTGGACTCGGGCTGTGACCCACTGGAAGGGCTGAAGGCTAGTGAAGAAAGACTAGGAAGTGGAGTATCCCTGTGGCTTCCAGCTCAGATGACCGAGAGGATGGGGATACAATCCACTGGAGCAAGAACACCACAGATGAAGTAGATTTTGGTGGGGAGATGCTGACCTCTTCTAGGACATGAAGAGTTTGAGGCCCTTGCGTGACAACCAGGTAGAAAAGTTTACTGGAAAGCTAGAAAAACAACCTGTTTCCATGAAAACTTCTCTCTGGCACTAATATACACCACACACATATCTACATTTTTACAACATAGCTCCCTAGTTCTAAGGGATTGTGCTAAAGGATTTTGTGATATTGGACACTACTAATGACGTAAAAGGACAAGGGGACAGCCTGCTGGGAATAAAACACTGAGAGATAAAGTTCAAAGGTCTAAAGGGGCTTGTGGAAGAGGGTACAGTAAGGGGTAGGGAGTGAAGGGCTGGGGTAGGCGGAAGCAGGACCCTGGATGGGCCTAGAGGAATTCTGGAGAGATCGCAATGGGACGCTGGGTGGATACACCCCCGCCCCCAAACCACTACCAACACGACTCCACTTCTGTGACAGCAGGATGATGCTGGGCTAGCTACCAGCTTGTCCAAACCTAGGAGGAATATTTTCATCTGTTTCATCCCTACTCCAATTTTACGATGGAAGTAATTAAGAACAATCCAAACGTCTCATGGCCAAATTATAGGAACTTGTCTGTGGGATAAAGGGCCTCATATTTTAATTCCCACTTATGAACTATTCTTCTCAAGCATTTATTTTTTGGGTCCTTTGTATCACCCCTCCAATAACATGAAAACTCCTCTGAGGGTTCCGTTTGATGCTTGGACTTCTAGACACCTCTGTAGGAGAGGTGTCTGTGATTAACTGGCCACACAGTCATGCATTTGTGCAAATGAATTAAGGCAGCAATGTGATATAGTGTGAAAAAACAAAAACATCTGGGGTCTGGAAGTCTGTCTGAAGGCCTGGCTCTTCCACTTACCAGTTGTGTGATCTTGGGTAAGTCTGAGTCTCAGTTTCCCCATCTGTGAAATGGGGATAATGATAATACTAGTTCTACCTCCTTGCCAGCAATGATGTAAGAAGTAACCGTAACAGAACTAGTAGGGGTAGCAATAACAAGGGTGTAGATCAAAGGGTTCTGTGAGCTGCAAAAAGATGTCCTACATATTAGTTGTTATGATTGTGGTAGAGTGAAAGGTACATACAGGTTTTGACGGTGGACAGACCTAGGTTCTAATCCTGAGTCCACCAGTCACTAGCAATAAGACCTTGAACTCTCTTCAATTTCCTTATCTGTAGAACTGGGATAGAAATACCCACCTCACTGAGTTGTTCTGAAGGCAAAAGGTCACTATATGTGTAAACTGTAGTGTAACGGCTTGGAATGTGGTTGGAACCGCAAGTTGATTTTCCTGTCTTTCTGTGCTTATTGGAGACTTCCCCAAGCTTGTTAGGGGGCTCTGGGAATAAGTGGGGGCTGAGTATGCAGAAGCAAATAAAAGACATGGTCCCTGTCCTCAAGAAGCTTTTAGTCAGTTCAGAAGATAAAACACACACACATTAAACAATATTAAAAGAATTACAGAACAGCAGATCAACAAGCTTGAGATGGTTAACAGGCAGAGCCCTGCTTTCCCTAGCTTGGCAGTTCATCAATTCCCCCCCTATTGTAACTGAAATGTGTTTAAAGGAAATTTCTTGTCCTACCTGGGAGTGAAAGGAGAGAGGATCTCTCACAGATATGGGACTTTTTTTTCTGCTGGACTCCAGGCTTACTTATCAAACTCCCATCTCAACGTTTCTGATCTTCTTCTCTGTCCTACAACTAACAGCCCACAAATACCCAAATGAAATCTTTGACATAGAGACTCACTCCTAAAAGGTCTGATGAATGATCTGGTTATATAGTAGACTGTTTCATTTTGTAAGATGTTCTATCTAGATCAGCAAGATGTGGATGGAGAATGGGAAGCATTAATGAATGCCACAGAAATGCTGTTCCGCCATCAACCGGGCTACGTATGTGTGGGAAGGACACAGAAGGAGATGGGGCCTGATCACAGGCTCCTCGCAGGAGATGGACTCAGGGCCAGACTGTGATGGCAGCGATGGACATAGATTGATGGGGATAAAGCCATCCTGGGGCAGAAGAATTAGTCAAGCAAAGGCACAGAAGCAAGAGTTAGTTGTGTGCAGAGATTGGCAAGCAGGCTGGTTTGGCTGAGGTAAAGGAAAAAGAAAGCTCAAAACAGATATGGGATACAAAGGAGGATCTGAATGGAGACTGGAATCCTAGGCTGACAAGTCTGGATGATGGTACAAAGGTATTTTTGTCTTCGATTTCAAGGGCCCTACATCTAAGAATATTAAAAAAAAAATAATCCTCGTTACAAAGTTTGAAAGCTATGAAACGGTATTGCCCTGACATTTAAAAGGAAAATGTTCTATGCTCTAATTATTCAATTTTCATATCCCTATGTGTCTAGCACAGTGCCTTGCCAACAGCAGGTCCTCAGTAAGTGTTTATGCACTAAATTTAGTTGTAATTGATATTATCTTGCACTTTCACAGAAAGAAAAGGTATAGTGTCTTATGGGACTCCTAATAAAAGAACCATGATCAAGAGAAAAGCTAGATCTCTGCACAGAAGACTCATTTTCATCATCATTTACAGAGTTAGGAAAGGCATTAGAATTCTACAGGAAATTTTGCAAAATGCTTTCCAGGGATTTCT